ATGAGGACCCTAACTTTATGACTATTATAATGTACCATCAATTTCCTTATTTATCCTTTCTTCAGTTTGTGGTTCAGGATTTAAACAATGATAATTAGGTATTTATAATAATGTTGATATGGAGAAATATTGAATGAGAAGGAAGAAATCACATTTATTTATAATATTTACCAACACAGGTCATACAGAATCTCAATGGCCCATCAAATGTCCTCCTCGCCTGTCAGTCGTGGTCTACCCGGCCAAAAATTATATCATTTATATGAATTAAGAGTTCAAATATGTTTTGTTGACATTACACACCTGAAATTAATAATTTTAATATATCCAATGCCAGCAAACAATTAGAAATACTCATTCCCAGACTCCACCCAGAGGATTAACCAACATCTCACAGTGACCTCAACCTCCCTTGCAATTTCTGACACATTGTAGCCAGCCGCACGTAAATCAATAATTAATTTGCCCGTTACTCGTCCATCAACGTTTCTTGGCATCCTCCTGGGCTAGGTGTGGAGCGGTGGCCAAACACCACTGTTACTACCACCTCATCACCTTGCCTTGATTTTCACAACTCTAAAAAACATATTACAGGGCAGACAAGTCACATTCTACCCAATAATTCAGTCTTAAATTTTTTTTATCAATTAATATTGATTATATCTATTCAAGAATGGTAGTGGCGAGAGGTGGAAGTGGTCAAGTAAAAGCTTAATTTAGTGTTATTGGTGATGAGGAAGGCCAAAAACAAAGGCACATCATCTCCTCTCTTATGATATCATATCGGGGACTTTACCTCACGGCAGCCAGATGCCTTATCAACCCTAATGACACATTACCTGCCAAAACCTCCCTCACAATCCTCCCCAGAATCTCAAGTACAGGCATAGATAACTAAGGGAAAGTTAAGTCCATATGACACCTCCCCTTCATCTCCCCGGACACCTGCCCTCCTGGTTGGATGGTCGGGCTTCAGGCATATCAACTTCCAGGGTCATTAAGGCCATCAACGTTTGAGCTACATCCACCAACTTTAACACCTTCAGGCATTAAGAATAATTCTACAACCATATACACTTTCAAAAGTTATGTGGCCCTTGAGTTGCACCCTCCTACCTTATCAGGGTCTGCCACCCCTCGCTCTCCACCCATCAATACCCCCCACCCTCATGTACCCCATCGTGTAGAAAGGTCTTAACTCATAGGTATGGTAGTAGGAGGGGTGGATGATTACTTTTGACTGCAACTGTACAGTATTAACATGAGTGGGACATTGGCTATCACTGAGAGTGTCACCACAATTTTATTATAGAAACCCAAACTCATTTATGCCAATTTCACACAGGCAGCCACTTCCAGGAAAGCAACCCATGGTATAAACAGGAGCATTCTGTGAGTGGCATTAAAAAACAAGTGAAATTATTTCAATGGTCATTAGAATAACAATTTATAAAGACTTCAACTTTTTTACCCAAGATATTTAATCAACATGTTCAAAACAGTTTACATTTTAATTTTTTTATTACCTGTATTCTTTTTTACAAAATGCCCCACAAGGGAGCTTGTTTATTGGGCACCCCCTTTGCAACCTGTGCAAGGTGAAGTGCAGAAACACCTCATCCCTCTCTGACCAGACATCTCTCCTCCTAAATACAGGCCTGGCACTTGACAATATTAGCGACCTGCCACACTTTACCATAAACAGATGAATTGTACCGGAACAAAACAGTTTGTGCGTCTGGAGTGAACAGAGATCAACTGGGTCAAGAGAAGCATTAGTTTGAATGTGGAAGGGAGGAGAGTCAGGGGTAGGCCAAGAAAGATACGGGGAGAAGTTGAGAGAAATTATCTCAAAGATGAAAAACTTATGAGAGATGCTGCATGATATCATACAGCATGGAAATAGAACAGCCATCAGGTAACTACGGCTAACCCACACAAGCATGGAACATGGTGATGGTAATAGTCGCTTTGAATATACTGTACAGTAAAATAAACATTTCAAGAAAATGAGAAAATGGTCCATGTAGTTTTTATAGTGAAAACACTTTGTCTTGGAAATAGAAATTAATGTGTTTCAGAAATTTCAACAGCTCCAGGATAAAATAGAAACTCCAATAGTAGCCAGAACCATATACTGTATTGTACTGTACTGTACTGTACTTATAAGTGATTGGTTTAAGAATATAATACCAGTGAAATTACAGGTGCAGGAATACCTCGCTATTTACAACCACACATATCGACAATTGAAATTTTAACACCCCTATTTGATATTTGATATTCACAAAGCATACCCAACTTATTTGCAAATGAAAAATTATGACACCCTAGAGCAGGAGTACTCAATTGGCTGACCAAAGTCCAGGTCCAAATCTGGACCGCAGTTAGCTTTGGTGCAGACCCCCAATCCAAATGGAACTAATTGATCTCCAAGAATATGTGGCCTTGAAAGAGTAGGTTGATAACTGTGATTCCGTCACATTCTGGACACAAGGTGCCTCAAGCTAGTTCCCCCCATCTTCACAAAGTCACATTACATATCCTCACTATGTTTGGCTCCACTTACCAGTGTGAGTCTTTCTCCGTCATGAATTTAGTGAAGAACAAATACCGCTCCAGCAGTGAACACCTTCATCATTGTCTGAGACCAGCTATCACATCATTTGTACCAAAGTTCAGGGAATTGGAGAGAAGCACAAAGTGTCACTGTTCACACTAATGATTAATCACTCAATTAAAGGCCCACAGTCACAATTACATTTACACTCAGGGTCAAAACTAATCATCCCCCTTTTCCTATTCAACAAAGAGGGATGAATAATTACTTTTGAACCAGACTGTACATTCTATAATTGCAATATTTTTTGTGTGTGCTACAGAGATTTAGTTTATGTCTTTACATTCATCATTTCTCCTTCTTCAACAGGAGTAGAATGTATGATAACTTTTGACCACAAAAAGACATACATTACCTGCAGTGTTTTATTGTGTTGCAGATACTCTGTAATTAGTTTTGTTCATCCCCCCAGGTTACCTCTTCAGCAAGAAGGATGGATGGTTACTTTATGGTTTCTTTTAATCCATGGGCTCTTGTTCATTTCTTTAATTCATTTGCACTTTCAACAGATTTGAGATTATAAATGCATGTAGATGGAAATAAACTGAGATGTGTACTCTTCATTTGTTTGTTATTGTTTCATATAAGTGGTCTCATCCAGACCTTGGCCATCTAGAAAATTTGTGTGACTAGACCTTCACATATAGTAATATGAATACCACTGCCCTAGAGTAACATTTCAAACCGGGTGGGCTACCCGCAGCTATCATAGTCCAATGTAAGGCCCGCTTCACACGAGCGGTTTTTTTCGCGTGGTTTAGAAATTAGTGAAGTTCAATGACACAGTTCACACAGAACATGCTTGTGAAAATTCCTGTTTCTCAGTCAGTAAAGCAGTTGGGAAGACTGCTCACAAAGCATCCCAAATTTTTCCCCTTAAATGAAATGGAAAAGCCTTCCCATTTTATGAAATTTCAGTAACTGAAAGATCATTTTTAAAGGAATGTTTCCCTTTTATAAATAGACAGATAGCTGCATATCGAGGATCATTATGACAGCAAGTTACAATATTACAACTTTTTAACCCCAGAACTACAGTAGTGCAACTTACTGATCTCCCTCCAACTCTCTCCTTCTTCAACAAATGCACACACAGCATAACACATTACTATCATATTTCCAAATAACTCTTCTTCACAGCACCATAACACTGTCAACTGTCACTCTTTTCATTTCTCTTTCTCTGGGACTAAAGTCATAAAGCCTCTGTATTCTTAATAATCTCTCACATCACATCTACAACTTACACAAGACAGCTGTATCCAGTAAACCCATCAACACCTGATAATTCACAAATGTTACTGCATGACACCTTCCACCACCAACTTGCTGGCATTTCATCCTCCACCTGCTTATTATCTTCTTGAGTCATCCATTATACTGTATCATACTTTAAGTGTCGTCTAAATACTAAATCTTTTCCATCCTCCATCCATGCACACAAATTTCACATTCATTTCCTTTTCTCAATTACTGCAATTATTTTTTTTCAATTCTATTTTCTCTCAAAATATTTTGTCTTTCAATCACTTTCTTGTATAACCTCAGACTCCAGCATTTTACATGTAAAAAAATAAAATTTTTCATAATATCTTAGTGTTATTCTTTAGCGCACACAGCACTGGATATTACTTTTCACTCGCCGTAGTCCTTACAATTAATATGGCAATCAAACTTCTTTAGGGTGACACTAATAAGAGGTAATACTGTAGATAATGATGTTGGTAGGGAACACATCTTAGAAGGTGAACTGAATCAAGAGCCTTTGCTTCAATGGTCATCTGGATCAGTAATCAAAACTAAGATACACTGGTCCGGCTTTTGTATCACCAGTCAGTCACAATGCTTACAAACAGCCGAATAATAGTACAGTAATAATAACCAGTAACGAACAAGTATTTACTGTCTTGAGCTGATCACCCATTATTGAAGCTGCTAACTTGAGGCCACTCATTGTGTCAGTGGTCCACTGGCCCAGTGACTGTGCTACTTGCTCTGCCTTGGGATACTCCCGTGTTTCACACCACCGTATCAGCTCATCCTTTGAACTCTACCCCAAAGAATATACATAATATGGCAGTCAACGTATACAATACTGCAAAATGTGAGAAAACCTTAACAAGAAAGATGTTCCTATTTACTAACCATTCTACTGAAAATGGAGTTACATTAACTACTGCAGTTACACTTTTTGATGGCAAAAAACATGCATTCAGGAGTATTCAAATCACTGAAGACACATGAGTTCTTACTACCATATAGAATAGATTGACATTCTTGTTAGTATCAATGTTTAAAAGGATAAAAAATAAATCATATTCTATACAAGAACACCAATAAAATGCTCTTGATATTCTAAATTAATTCAAAATGCACTTACCAAAAATGGCAATTTGCGGAAAATAGAAGGACGCGACGACACTTTAGCCGTGTAAGGATTCACCAATGAGATGCCAACAAGGGAGAAAAGGTCAGCAAGCATAGCTGACTTTATTTTCAAGTCCAAAGGCTGATCAATGTTGAGGGAGGGGGATAAGTTGACTTCCAGCACCCAGGGTTTTAACTGACTGTCAATCAAAATGTCAAACCCATACAGCTCTGAAATAAAGACAAAATCATATTAAATATTTATAAACCATTTCCTTGGGGATGAACAGGGACTAATATGTATGAAGGAACTGTTCACAAACTATCCTGTAGGACATGATACAGATATACAAAAAATACCAGTACAATCTTTGACAGATGATCTTATTCTTCTCATGCAGACTGGTCATCCTTAAGATTATGTCACTAGAAACAATTGTATTAAAAAAAAGTCATAAAGACAAGAAGTATGGAGAAATTTTTTTTCTTCAGAAATACATAACAGAAAAGTAGATGAATTGATGTCATCTGGCATTACTACTAAATTAATTACAGTAATGAACTAAGGTGCCCTCCTTATGCCTCTTAGATGATGAGCAAGACCCCCCCCAACCCCCCCTTCACATGTTATTTAGGTTGTGTTCACCATCACACTCAGATTTTGTATCTCACCAGGAACACAGATTTTACTATCATTCATCCATCTGTTTCCCCTGGTCAAAGTATCCTATTTTTCTTATTCTATAAAATTCTATTACTTCTCTCATTGCTCTAGCCAATTAATACAGTACTTTTTCATTTGTTTTTCAACCAGTTTGACTTATCTTTAGCATTCTCCTGCAATACAAAACATTAATTACAAAACTCTTTTAGCAGAATCCCCTTCAAGAAATACTGTAAAGGGATTTAGTGGTATTATCAATCATATTTGATAGTATGTCTGTTCTGCAGCTCCAACCAACATTCCAGTCAGCTACAAGGCTTGTCTAGGTCTGACTGCTTCACACATTAAATATTTCCATCTCTAGTATCGTTGATTACTCGGCAGTAAACCTAAACATAGTAGAGTGCTGACATTTGTCCAAAGCTGTAAGTAACTTCTGAGACACAGGCACATAATGATATAACTGCACTACATTAACAACCAGTGGTGGAAACTTAACTACCAGTATCTTGGTCAAGAAGTAAATCTTTAAGGTGAATTATTTCTCCGTGATATTTTCACTTGCTTCCAAAATAAAGATAAAGACATTCCAAGGAACAAAACGATCTACCTGTGTACTGTAATCAACATTGATACAAACACTGATGAACTACTCACCAAAACAGTTACGATTGTGTGGGACAAACATGTTGGTTGCTGTGTTCATCTGATACGAGGCAGCAAGCAGAGACTTGATAATGACATCCTCAACTGACCGCATCAGAGCACCAGTATCAATTCCTTGGCTTTTCAAGTGCCTTAGAAAAGCACTTAAAGACCACTTGTTCCCTTGATCATCCACTTCGGGGTCTTCATTTCTTTATGTGAAGAGAAGTAAACACAGACACAAAATTATAAATAAAAATATCAAAGGGTTCTTAGGCTAGACTACATTCTTACCCAAACATAGTGTACAAAAACCAGAAACAAATACTGTAGTGTTTCCCAAATATTCAGCTGTGACATCTGAACACTTCAGCTACACACCAGTGTACCAAGAGACAGAAGTTTACTTACTGAACGTAGTTTGAATGGAATTTATTGACAGAATAGTTTGTTAGATGTATACAAGGGTTCCACAAGTTCTTGCCATGCTGATACTTGACAGTTGCCAGACGCACCAGCCCTTCCTCATACAGATAAACCACAAGTGGGTCCAGGGATGTCACACCCACATATAACCTTAAGTCACACTTGTACCCATCCACAAGCAGCGGCGACTCAATGTAACGGCATAATAAAGACGTCTCGTCTGCTGGCACTTGATCCACCTACCAAAGCAAAAGAAAAATACCCATATGTAAAGATGGACACAGTGCAGTATTTACCCAAACTCTGACATTAAATTCAGTAATATGAATCATAAACTGAATTTCTCTTCTCTATCTACAAAACTGGAAGAAATTTAAGAGTAAGAAGGAACAGTTATGAAGGTAAACCTGAAGAGAAATATACATGAAACATCAAAACTTCCTACATTAAAACTTCCATTGTTAAACTATCATCAAGAAACATTAACCAATACTGTATAATGAAACTCTCTTATACATATGCTGTAATACTTAAAAAAATACATAAAAGTACACTGAGTGAGTACAAAAAAATTAAAACACACCTGACTGATCAAGTATATGCCCTTGCCTTGTGAAGAGGCCACTGGCTTAACTATCCAAGTACCCCGCTCCCGCAAGTGAGTATCACAAAAATCCCTGTATTCAGTGGGTAGGATAAAGCTGGTAGGAATAAAGTCAAAGAGCTTGACACCAAATTGCCGCTGCATTCGTTTGATGTTCATGTATAAGCGATCTTTTCTTGTAAGTTCTGATGACCTGGGGAAAGCAATACATCACATTAAAATTGTTTAAGCTAAGACAATAGGTAGTTAATACTAGTTACAACAAAACCTAGGGGGGGAGGAATGACCTTTGACTTAAGACGATGGGATTCAGTCATGCAGTTGAGTAATGGTGGCAGTGTTCAGTTACTACAACATCCTGCAGGCTGCCAACTATCATGCCAAGGGTTACAGCACCCACATACTGTACTACCACTAATACACGTACAGTTACAGACAAAATTCTCTTATCACTGTAGGTAATATCTGGCATCTACTTTTGGGACATTTAGGTAAGAAGGATTGGGATTTTACCATCTACACTCTCTGAATTTTCTTTGCCTTACACTATATCCTCGTTAATTCAACAAAAAGGGGGCCCCGAGTCACCCGAAATACAAAAAAATTTGAATCAACTGAATTCAGAAAACTGTATTACGACATTACTCAACAATTTCTGTGTTCGATTATTTGTCAGTGGTCCAGTGACTGAGCTACTTGCTCTGCCTTGGGATACTCCCATGTTTCACATCACTGTATCAGCTCATCTTTTGAACTCTACCCGAGAGAATATACACATGAGGTGTTGCGAGGAGCAAGGGCGAGCTAACTAAATGTGGAGAAATCCGTTTTCTATGGTTCCTGGTAGCTCAAACCGTGCTCTTTCCTGTATAACCCAGAAACACAGGATTTTAAACCCTTTACCCCTGTCAAATTAAGGCTTATATTACGGTGCACTTTTCAGCATGTCTACAGAATTCTGGTTTTGATGAGTGTTACTATTTTCATTATTATCAATTTTAACTCTTTTTATGTCATTTTGATTAAAGTTCAGAAAATTGTAAATCCATCTCATAAAATATTGTATTATTTTGTAATACAGCATGCCCTTAAAATTCATGAGGTTTGGGTCTCAAAATGGCAGGAAATTGCCTAAAGCGCAAATATCACACACAAATAAATAATACAGTAAGTCCTCTTTTAACGTTGTCCCCGACAACGTTGTTTCGTTATAACTTCGCTACACTTCAGATACACCATGATTCCGACAACATCCTGACTGATTCGTTATAACGTTGTCACCCAACACGGACTACTTTGTACAGTGAGTTCTGCTATAACGCGTGTTTTGATAACGCGAATTTGCTCTAACGCGATTTATGAATTAGGAACGATATTTGTATAACGCGAACGCTTGTTTGCTATAACGCGATTTTTGCTTACTATTTCTCCAATTTTGTGGTATATTAACTGTGAATATAGTAAAGAAGAATATCAACAAGAAGCGTTCTGGTGATAGAATTCCCGGTGATGATCGTAAAAGAAAGGATATAACACTTGAAGAGAAGCTCGATTTTATCAACCTCAAAATCACCCTTCTCCCCCATCAAGTAAAGTGTTACATTTACTGTATGATTTCATTATTAGATATGAATGTAACATTTATTTAGACTGTGCTATCCTTTGTGTTAGGCTAACTACTAAATTTTTTCGATTTCGAGTAATCTGCACCTAACCCTATTTTCTCCATAAGCCCTGTTATTTCTATTACGCGATTTTCTATAACACGATATTTTACAAGAACACAATTATCGCGTTATAGCAGAACTACCTGTATGGCGCATCACCCTCTCTCATCTTGATGCGCTACGCTCTCTCACAGAGAGTCACAGCGTCCCCAGTCTTTGTTAGGCTTCAACAGCGTACGTGCGTGCTTAAGTGTTTTTGCTCTAAACACTGTACTGTAACCATTCAAAATGGCTTCCAAGCGCCCATCAAGTGTTAGTGATGTGAAGAAGCAGCGCAGGACCATTAACCTTGCTACGAAAATGGAGGCTTTAAACCTCCGGGTCTCAGTGCCTCGCCACCCTCCTCCTCCTCCGCTCCACTACCCACCACACACTCGCTCCACTTCTGCCCCATCAGTGAGTACAATACAAAATGATTTAGTTTATTTATCTTTTTGGATGAATAATACATATTTTTTATAAAAATTCCATTGAATTTATGTAAATGTAATGTATTTTATGGGGTAAAGGGAGGCTAGGGAACATAACTAGCATATTTTATCTATTTCTTATGGGGAAAATTGATTCCGTTAACGTAGTTTCCGCTAACATTGTGTTTTACAAGAACGTAACCACGACGTTAAGCGAGGACTTACTGTAATGGGAAAATCCTCTCACAAATAATGAGAAACAAGACAACAAAATGCATCGAAATGTTAAACAAAAGTGAGTCTACCCTCAAGTCAACTCCATGCTTTATTATTAAAGTCGAGTTGGTTGAGTTGTCATACTCCAATTTTTTCATCGTAAAAATTACTGTCTCTAGAACGAATGGCATCTGAGCGCCAGTTGGGTTGATATATAGATCAAACTTACAAAATTTCTTTTGTAGCCATCTAGCCAACCCAACATGAAGGATGTTGATAATTGTGGTGTAATACTGTAATTTTTTCACTATGTATGTAGGATGGTGTGTGCATGTAGCCGAGTAAAAATAAATGAAGAAAGTTACGTATATCTTCCTGAAAATATGAGTTGAAAAAACCATAACACCTCACAGCTTGGCCCAGTAGCCTGGTGGTTACAATGATGAGCTAACCTAGATACAATGACATGATTAATCAATATTAAACACTGTTCTATCAGTAAACACTAATAATAACGGTAAATTCAGTTAAATATGGCAGGGAGTGAGGAGAGTTACAGCTGCAGACAACACACTAACTAGCAGTCACTCACTCCAGTAGCCAGTATGGGAGAAATACATGACCTTCTCTTCACTTGTTTGTGCACCTTCCTGTGGCTTGATGAAGGTGGTTGAGGGAGCCATCACAAGGAGCACAGTAACACACAGGTGAAACAGACAAGTGTTCAACCCAGACTGTCACTGAGGCAGAGTGAGTGGCCCAGCCACCTGGTACAAGAGACACCTTGCAGGACGCCATAAAACTTACGGGTTCCCCGTCCCGGCCGTGAAAATGCTGCCAACTTTAAAACTACCTGTAGACATTCTTGGTTACATCCAGGGTGTCATTTGTGAACAATCAAAGGCCATGAATTAAAATTCTGCAAATTGTAAGGACATGCTTGCTACTGTACAGGTAGTTTTTACCTTCAGCAATTAGGCATATTATGAAAAATTATACATTTTCACAGACATATTCATGATGTATTACCGCAAACCTACAAAATAATAGGAAAAAAATCCTACATTTTTTTCTCCAATCATTATTTTTGTCATCTCGCCCTTGTACTCACAACACCTCATATAGCAGTCAGTGTATAAAATACTGCAACATATGAGAAAACCTTAACAAGAAAGATGTTCAGGATCAGGTACCGGGTCCACTGACCTGATCCTTTGTCATCAAGAAGATTTTTCCTAATCTCCACCCTACATCAACTGAGGAGACAGGTCATGTAACCTGAGTCCTTTGTTCATGTCTTTCTCCTTTGTTTTGTTCTGTTAGTTGGCTAAAGAGGGTCCTAGTATACCAGCTCTAAGATTTCATCTTTCATTTCTCCAATGTGGGTTTATACTTCATTTACCAGTGTGGCCATTACACCTGTGGAATATTATCTACACATCAGTTCACCTCACAATGTAAGCATTATATTTATTTATTACTGTATTAATTACTTTGTTAATACTGTATGTATATTTAAAAATTATTAATATTTACACAATACTGTAATTATAAATAGAATATTTTATGGGGCAGCCTAGGTGACTTTTCAGAAGCACTCGGTTATTTTGGCTTCATTCTGAATTCAACTTGTTGAGTTCATTAAAAAAAAATTAATTCAGCCAAAAGCTGAATTATAACGATCCAAATTAATGAAGGTACAGAGTACAGTATTTTTCATGCTGTTATTCTGACAGAATTCACAGTGAAAAGCAGCATTCATTACCTATAACCCAATCACATACATGACCCACAGGTTGATGCCAAATGTTGCCAGATGTGGAGGTCATATTGTCAGCAAATGTGTTAGTCTAACTTGGTAATATGAGAAGTTTATCCCACGTGAAAAGAATACACAAAACATTACTCTCTTCTCTCACATTTCATCCATTAAGAATTATCAAACTACTGTACACTGTATAAAAATTATGTCTAAACAATGAGAACAAGAGCCAGCTCCCTCTGGAAAGATTACAAAAGGAAAAGCTACAGTTGATTCATTATTAAAGGTGGCTCATGTTCTCCTTCTGGAGGTTAATTTCTCCCATTCACAATTTTCTGACACATTAAGCAACACCCACCTTGTACTCCTAATACATGGTGTACAAGAACCTTATTCATTGGTATAACAACATTCCTATTTAGTAGTGTACAACATTCCTATTAAGTAGTGTACAACATTTCTATTTAGTAGTGTACAACATTCCTATTTAGTAGTGTACAACATTCCTATTAAGTAGTGTACAACATTTCTATTTAGTAGTGTACAACATTCCTATTTAGCTGAGTATCATAACATATGTATTTAGGGGTGCACCATCACATTCCTATTTAGTTGAATATCAAAGCATTCCTATAAAGTGGTACATAACAACATTTCTATTTAGTAGTACAGCATGCCCTTAAAATTCGCGGGGGTTTGGGTCTCAAAATGGCCAGGATTTGCCAAAACCGTGAATATCATTTGCTGACCAAGGGAAAGGAAGGAGGGGGGGGGGGTGGGGGTGTACATTTTTACTCATGTGCAAAGAAATGTATACAGTAGAATGTCAATTTAAAGCGATTCAATTTAAGATTATTGATTTAAAGTGACACCCACAATTAAGGACAATGTTTTAATTTAACGGGAATCTTTCCTATTTTGCGAGAGTCAATCTGGTGCATCATATTTTTAAATTCGCGCCAAATGTTTCTCTGGGCAGGCTACACTGTCCTAAGGGCAAAGTTGTACTGTACATGTACTAAAAACAATGTACTAAATGATTACTAAAATTTTTGCCTAGTGCAAACTATAGCATTCC